CCTTTTTGCCGCTTTCTCTGCCTTTAGGGCTTGTGTGATACTGATGCCCTCCTTGTTCTCAATGCCCAACTCACGACGACGCTCCTCGGCCTGTAAGTCGTCGAGTACGAACCTGCCGAGTTCACCAGAGCGCCATTTCTGAATGAAATGCAGTGCGGCGAGGTCAATGTTAGGCGTGCCGCCCTTGGCGAGCAGCCCTGTTTGGCGCGCGTAGCTGTCTAGAAGCGGCTGTATTTCGTTGGTTGCTGACATCCAACGCTGGTATACACCAGAATCGTGCAAGTTGATGTGGTATAGCAGGTAATCTGCTAATGTGACAGGAGATATCACAGAGTCTTTCACACAGCCGCAAAGGGCCAACTTCAACATATTCTCAGCGTCTGGCACATAAGGCATAAAGACCCCCGGGGTATCCAGTACGTAAACTTTGGCGCCATCGTCTTTCTCTATGATTTTTACCGGGGTTCCGATTTTCCTAGTGATACCCGGCTGGCCTCCGGTTTGGACAGCCTTGCCCTTTCTCACGCCGCCGCTGCGGAGGTTGTTTAGCAAAGTAGACTTTCCAACATTGGGCATCCCGACAATCATCACACGGCAGCCGACAAGTTTGTCAGGTCCCTCGGCATCGTTGCGCAGGTGCTTTAGGATTTTGCTCACATCCGGGCGAGAAGATGAGCTGACGAAGAACACTGGGTTATTTTGATCAAATTTTCGAATTCTTCTCTCGGCCTAAGGGTGAAAAAGGGCTGTCAGTAAATTATGGGCTGAGTCAATGGTTTGTCGTTACTTACAGCCCTCTGTGCCGGTGATCCCGTCTCAGTCCCCAGGTCTCTCTTGGTGTAAACGATCAAACGCCTTGTCTTCCCTAGAGCTTCTTCAAACATGGGATTCACAGACGTAACTGGAACTCGAGAATCTCGGCATTCAACCACATAATCGATTGAAGAAAGCATGTTTCGCATTTTATTCAGCCCGGCCTTATGGTGGCCGAGGAAGTAGGACCGCGGGATGGAGGCATAGTCGGGGAATATCTGGCGTGGCACGAACCTAGTGGCCATTATCGGAGGTCCACGGACTGAGAACTTGTATAATTGTCATATAGGACCATATAGACGCACTCTTTCGCGGCATTATCTACCGCAGAATAACTGCGATAATCATCTGGACTGGAACTCTTTTTTGCCGGATTTTCTGCGATACAGGAGGCGGTGAACAAGGCGGTGATATATGGTTGCCCTTTTGGGAATCATACACTGCCCGTCTTGGATTTGACACACTCGTCCGATTGGCTAAAGAGAACGAGGAACAACCCGGACCCAGATCCGGTTTTAGCAACAGTCCTACTCCTGAAGGACTATTCTCGCCTGATGTGCAGAATTTCCACAGTTCTGCTGGATGTACCTACGGCTCATACTAGACCATCAAGCAATGCCGATGATGCAAGGTTGAATTGGGTAGAGCTTAACGAGATTCGACCACATGTGGATGAGGAATTCGGGAGACGGGCTCGTTGATGGATGGATAGATAGATGACTTGTATGTTTTGAAGTACGATGTTGTTTCTAGAACTGTAGACACCTGTGGTATTCCAATCCAGATCTATATTACATACTGTTACAAAGCATGGGTATCATATGGCCAATATACTGGGTTATTCCCTCCCAGTTACGTGTAGATGAATCATGTCGTAGATCAAAGAACATGTCAGAAATCGACTACGCTCTCCATCCCTGCACAAAGTCATGAAGGCGGTCAATGACTACACCAAAGATGGCATTGGCACTGTCACCGATAAGCTGTTCAAAGTGGCGGATGGCTTCCTCTTCGGTCATTTCGAGATGGAATCGCTCCTTCACTTTTAGAACAGCCTTATCTGGCTCTACACGGATGTCCGGAATGTTGGCGTCAACCATCAAACTGAAGAGATTCAGAATGAGGTTTGCGGACTTGCGCAACGTCGTATAGGCCGTGAAGCAGTATTGTTTGAACTGTAGATAAAGTGGTGATGAAGTCCCACCCATACCTTCAACCATCTCCTTGCAGAGTTTCATCATCGGCGCAAATGGTTTAGGATCACGTCCCAGGATGAAGCCAAAGTCAGCGTGGAAAAAGTGTCCGTCTGGTGCGAGGAGTAGGTTTTCGAGATGCCTGTCGCCGACACCAAGAAGGTATGTGATCACGCAATAGCCGGCACAAGACTTGATATAAGTATCCATGGTCTCCTTGCGGACGCCGAGTGGCTCATTATCGTCCGGGTTGTTAGCCTTAAGATATGCGAGGACCGTTTTGTATCTGGCAGAGACTGCAGAGAGTGATGTTGAGGGTATGAATTGCATTGCACCTGCAGTGGCGTTGGTGGCTAGGATTCGATATGGTGTGAGTTTGAGATCTAAGTTCTCCTTTTGGAGAAGCCGATCCATCAGAATGATGATTTGGATGACGAGCTGGTCTTGACGAAGATCGTCACCGACTTTGAATAAAATCGGGTATTTTCGACCTTCAGTTGTTTTGAATGTGAGGAGCAGAGGAGATAAAGACGACTTGAATACGTTCGACTCTTCAGAAAAGCAACCGGTAACCAAGACATCCGGATCCAAAGGAAGAGGTAAGGGCGGTTCGAACTGTATAAGATCGTTCTTTGGATCTTTTAGGAATTTTTTCAATTTTTCGATCTTGAGGGGACGGTTCTCTCGAGCAAAACGGATGTCCTTGGAAATTTTTGAGAGCACGGCAATAAGTTCACCCTGGCGTAGGAGCGTCTGCCTGTGGTCTGGATGAATTCGCTCTAATTCTGCCATGAAGTAATACTCAACCCGGGCGAAAAGCCTACGGTGAGAAGATAGCGTCCCTGGGCCAGCGTCATCACATTCGACCATCAGATACCAGTGTAGGTAGCTGCCAAGTTTGAAATTGTTGGCCGCACGGGTAATGAGAAAGTTGGCTAGGGAGGAGTCATGAGCAGCTATATCCGCGTCGCCATGGGCATTGTCTTCGTATTTAAGTGCCTGCACGAGTTGGAGGAGATACAATAGTAATTCGTCGTCATCCGCCTTGCGAAGCCGCTCCACAGCATAAGAACGAACAGCCGCATTATCGAAGGTCGGACCAAGTAGCTCTAGCGCGTCATCCACGTCGATCTCAGTCCATTTTGGTAGAATTTCGACAGCTTGATGGGCTTCGCCCACATCTCTCCAGTTGACCGATTTGACGAATTTGGTAAGAGCTCTTTTCTCTCGGGTAAGATAATATCTGAATCGCCATACGAGATCCTTTTCTTCGGCGGTCAGGTCCTGCGTAGGCTCGTAAGACACAATTATGTTAAGATCATCACGGATTTTAGGATTAGGCTTGAGGTCACGATCCATAATGCCAGTACGGTGGCTACGGATGAGTCTCCGATGTTTGTCCTCGCAGGGGTTGCCTGTTTGGCCAACTTCGGGGTCGTAGATTCTGATGACCCCTTCGCCATCGGCTCCTTCAATCCCGGGACCGAACCGAACCTCCGGCAGAGGTTTCAGAGCCCCATTTGCGTTTCCAGGTGCATTCTGCGGATACGACGAGATGGGGGGTGGTGGGTATTCGTGATCGGACCATACAATGGGGTGATCGAACCTGGGAAATTCAATGTATAGAGTGAAATTTTCGTCGTCGAAATCCTCTTCATCCTCTTCATCTTCTTCGCCGCTTGGATGTTGAGACTTATTGGCCTTTAGAAGAACTGCACGCTTCCGAGCAGCCTCATCGGCGTTAAGCTTCAGCCTCTCCAACTGACGAAAAAGCATTTGATCCATCCAGTCAATCCGCGGAATTTCGCCCATCTCATGTTTCTTAATCAAGACTTCCACCCTCTCCAGCTCCATCTCTTCGGTAGAAGGTCCAAGTCGGTCAGGCTTGTTTCCCTTTCGTTTTTTCGGAGGACTTGAAGGCGTTGTCGTCGTCGAGAACCCGTCTGCAGCTTTGTGTCGGTAGACTTTGCATTTCTGTCTTCCGGTTTTTAATTTTGCATCTTCGTCAAACAGCCGTATCGTCGTCCCACCGAATGGAACATAATGGCCGTCTGCGCCTTCTCCACCAAACGGGGATAAGTCCCAGATCGTGATAGCAAGTTGGCATTTTAGAGGGGCGTCTTTAATGGACATGGGTAGCTGTAACCATTCGTTCCAGGACCTCGCAGCTTTGAACGCTTTGTAAGATGTTTGCAAGGGCACCCCCAAAGGCTTAGATTCCGACCACAACTGCGCTGTCACAAACAGATCAGATAGCGGATTCTGCGCGGAGCCAACGTGCCGCAATTCTGGCTGTTTCAATAGAACCGAGAATGGAATTTGTTTCTGCTTCCCTTCCAATGAACCGCTGTATTTCCCATTAGCCAAGCGCTCTTATACACTTAGATGCTTCCCATTGCAGTAGAGATAGTGACATTATGGCATACATCTTGACGTGTATAGGGAAGTCCACCTGCGTGGAAACCGCAAATGTGAAGGCCTCCATCCTTGGCCTGGCGCATCACTATTCGACTACTTTTATCGCATGGTTGAGATAAGTTGTTCACTTTCATGATGCCTCGAGGTGGAAGGGAGCTCAGTTCCGATTGGAGATGACGTGGGGGGCAGGTGACATCACGTGGTGGCCCATTTCGAACGCGTCCAGAGTGCCCAGACCAGACGCGGGCCTTCGCGCTTCCAACCCGAAAAGGGGATTCAGATGGAGATTTTTGTTTGCCAGGTTTCCCGGGCGAATCGCCGTTTGATAATACCATTACTTTTTTTGTTCTGCATTATTTTTGTTGGTGCCTATTTTCAGCCCTCCTTTGTCAAATCGAGAGCCTTGCCTTTGAAACCGCCTTTCGCAGCCGCCGGGTCAAAGAAATAAGCCTTGCGAGCATGGCGCGTCCGCAACAAGCTCGCTCAGCACCCCCTCGTCAGTCACCAGGGTCTCCCTCGGACAAGGAGAACTTGGAAAATTCTGCCCGCATCAAACGGAAAAGCCAGACTCGTACAATGTCGTCTTCAAGAAATAACACGAAACGGCAACGCCTGGGCAACAGAGCCTCGAATATCCAGGGTGGGCGTCAGCCATTATCAGAACAACAACGACAAGCCAGCAAACAGTTCTACGACCCTGACCAGGATACAGCTGAAAGACGAAGAGTACGCAAGGGACTTCGGGATCTCACGCGAGAGTTGAATGGTAATACCCCGCTACCGATTATCTGGGGCGCGTGTTAATTATTGCTCAGATTCTAGGAATGAATACCTACAGGCCGGAAATACTGGTATTAAGGATACCATACTAAAAGCAAACGAGTACTTTCAAGATGTCAAGCAAACTTCGGACGCAACAATCGACTCTCGTCTTCTGGTAAATGCCGCGGACTTGTCATATAAGAAAACTGCGACGTTAGTACTGGGCGACGCAGGTGCGGGGATCGATGTTGACGAATTCGTTTCGAAATGTATCTCGTTTATGCGCGCCGGTCCGCAAGACCCGAATGCCTCGATTAGCAGCACCCAACGCCGCCGTGCTCCGCGAAGGACTCAGGCAGACCCTGATAATAGCGACGAGGAGGACGGAGACGGAATGAACTGGGATTGGCTTGGGCGTTCTGCCTGTTTTCGCCATAGCGCCAGGCCTGCGGTCTCTGGGTTCCTTCTTGGACCGCTATCGGTACAAAAGCGCACCCGCCAAATAGCACAGCGAAGAGCAAGGGAGCGCATTGATCCATCTCAGGCGGTCCGACCGCAGGAACTCAGAGAGGAGGATTTAGATAAGCAAGAGTCATCTAACCTTACGGCTATGTGCACCAACATAAACAAACTGCTGGGTGAGACGCAAGACAATGCGGAAGCCGCTGTTACCGAGACTCTGGAGCAAATAGGGGAGCCTACAGATGAGCAAGTTCAAGCTGTGATGGCCAAGCATCATATCGCTGATGATGCTGGCGTGCCGTTATTCAAGTTCTGCATTAACCCCAAATCATTCGGACAGTCCGTGGAAAACCTGTTCTATCTGAGCTTCCTGGTCCGGGACGGAACAGTTGGAATTTCGACCGATAGCAGAGGTTTGCCAACATTGCGTAAGGACCCCTGAAGCCCTGAATCGCTGCTGACATGCCATGCCATCATCATCTAACCACTTCAATGACAGATCCGTCAAAGCCCTATGCGCCTAGTGAAGCCCAGAAACAAGGCATTCAGAAGCGGCAGTCCGTATTCAGCCTCGACTTTGATACATGGAAGGATGTGATCGAGGCGTATAACATCGATGAATGCATTATTCCTCATCGCCAAGAGGAGCAGCATGACACATCGCGAGGATGGTATGGCTAGTGTGCAACTGGAAGTTTCGTGTCCCTATTTTTCGCTATATTTTTTTCTTTTCGGTGCTCAGGAGTTGAGGGCAAGCACGGAATAGCGTAGCTGGTTATGATATACCCCATCCAATTGGAATATACACTTGATTTAATAATCTTAAATTAGCCCAGCAAGTTGTCGTTTTCACGATCATTGATTCGTCAGACTGGCCCATACTCTTTCCGGGTGAGTTGCACATTAACGGGACGGGATTTTCCTTATCAGCCGTTTTCCCCGCACAAGGTAACAGCCGTTGACGTCAGCAAATCGCCGGCTCCCAAGCTCAAGATCCAGCTCCACAAGAATTACTATCTTCTAACACGACCAAAAGATTTTATTCATCTCAGGCAGACTTGTACAGTGGCAGTTAATTTTATCTGGACAAGTGTGCCTTTTCAAACCGAGCTCAGCTCTGATCACTTAAGGTGACAATCAAACGTGCAGCCAGGCGCTTTGAACACAGGATATCAAAATCGACCTGAATCGCCCGTCACGCATCAAGTTTAATATTCCGTCAATTAACCCACACGCTGACATAATTCTGTTGAAGGAAAAGGAAAGTCAAGTTATCACTATGGTGCCCGAACTCTTTCCCGCGAATCCGGATGATGTGATGGTAATCCGGAATGTTACGTCCAATGTCATTACCATGAGCTTACCTTTTGCGCGATTTGGGCGATTAAAATTTGGCGGAAGAGGAACGCTTGGTAAGCCGCTTTATTCCTTTTCTTATCCCAATTCGCCTTGATTAACGCGAAACAAACCAGTGCGAATGTCAACAGGCTCCTTAGCCGTTTTCTCTCCCGTCAACCTGACCCCCGCAGTCCAGGAGACGATATCCGGTCTAGGTGGGAGAGTCAAATACATTGCAGCGCTTGATATGGAACATCACATCCACCTGACAGCCTGGAAGAATGCCTTTCCAGATGCGGATATCATTGCCCCGGAAGGACTGTATGAGAAGAGACAGTCCGTCCCAGAGTACAAGGATACACCATTCAAACACATTCTTAAGAAAGAGAACAAAGAAAGCGGGTGGCCCATTTCCGAGGAATTCAACCAGGAGTTCGACATCGAATACGTATACGGACACGGGTCCAAGGAACTGGTGTTCCTGCATAAACCCTCATGCACATTGATTGAGGCGGACCTACTATTCAATCTTCCTGCGCGAGAACAATACTCTAAAACTGGGCAGGATGCGACTGCAGGGATTCTTACGAAACTTGTCCGGCCATTGTTATCTACGGCCCCGCCGGCGACGATGCAGAAGAGGTTTGCGTGGTATATCTTGTCGAAGGAGGATCGAGGGGCTTTTACGGAGTCGATGCGCAGGATTGATAAGTGGGAATTCAATAGGTTGATTCCGTGTCATGGAGATGTGATTGAGAGTGGCGCGAAGGGAGTATTTAGGACGGTATTTGAGTGGTTCTTGCAGCACTAAAAGAGACATCTATTCGCGACTTGGGTTGTCTCTGTGATAGGGTTAGCGCTGTATTAATACGTCCTGTAAAATAATTTGAACAGATCTGGAACGTGTCAATCTATTGATCACCAAGCCTCAGCTTGTTTGCGAGATTTCAGTGGAATTCATGAACAGGACGGGATGTCTGCACCTTTACTGAAAAGGGCAATCTGGGTGCTGATCGGAACGAGATGGAAAACGGACTGGTGCGGGCAACATGCGATGACGATGTTCAGGCGAAGATATTTTAAAAATGACGGCAAGTCTTCTGCCACAAGGAATAGACCCTGGAAATGGCTAAGACGCTAAATAGATGAAGAGATGGATGTTCATCTCCCACCGAGATGCGATGCCAGCAAAACAAGCTCCATCCCGCCTGAGTGACGTATCACCGAGTCTGGCCAGGCAGAACAATTGACCACACCAGCTTCCCTGGTCAATCAGTTTCCCAGTCAGGGCTGGTGAACTTTTCCTCCAGACATGACAAGCGTTGGGCAGACCTGAATGAGACACGGAAGACCAATCGGTTGCTGCCAGACGACGTCATGGTCTGGAGAGATTGATCACGTTCTCACATTATGAGCAAGTTATACATGAGGCAAGGGGCATCCAACGGTGAAGGCGCACTCTGAGTTGTTATTATTTAAATGCGGTCTCGTCCCTGAGTCGCTCTCTTTTCCGTCGTTTCTTCTCCAGATAATAAGCTTCTGTCATCCAGATAACCTCAGCCTAAGGCACTGCATTGAAGATCAACTCCACGAAGCCTACTCTTACTCCAATTTCACTCCACCAATACCATCATGCCTGTCCTCTCACGCTTGGTGTCGATTATTCTCCGCGTAGCCGAGGTCGTCTTTGGTGCTGTAAGATCCCCGATTCCACCGTGGCCTGGAGACTGGTGTACTCCACGTCAAACTGTGAATAGAGCTAACCTTGACAGGTTGTTGCCGGCATCGTCGGTTGGTTCCTTCACACTTTTGATGACATTGATGTCTGGCCCAAGCCACGATGGATCTACACTGAAGTGATTGCTGCAATATCCATATTGTTCGGCCTAGTATGGCTAATACCATTCTCGTCGGGGTTCTTTACATGGCCGTGTATGTCGTAAAATCTTATACACTCTGTTCGTCGTGACCTGGCTGATCTTATTACAGTGGATTTGCTTATTTCATTTGCATGGTTCGCCGCCTTTGGAATACAAGTCGATGCCAACAGACGACTCGGCTGCGGTAGCATTTGGCATTGGGGCTCTATAACAGACAACACGTGGTGTGGCCGTTGGAAAGCCTCGCAGGCATTTAGCTTCCTTTCAGCTATTGTCTGGATTGCCTCTGCGCTTGTGGTTAGTACCTTGAAGCCTAGAAGACTTCATACTGCATACTGATGATTGTTTTAGGGCATCTGGTTTACATTCCGCGTCAGGAGACATGCAACTGACCGAGTGTAAGTGCCATCGTCTGACATCCTTATAATAGTTTCATGATCCTAACCGTGTTCTTAGTGGTAGTCGCTATCGTGTTTAAATCGACGTTGTGCCCTTTTTACGATGTCAAATTCACTCGTTATCCTGATGGCGAACGTTTCGCGTTGCGAGAGACCCTAGAACGATAGGGCTGCACGTTTTCTTTTCGTTGCCTATAATTTCAATCCTTCCATTTGGCAATCAGCTTGTCTTGCGGTCCATGATACATGATATGACGATACAATGATTTGTTACGAAGTAATTGACTCGATGCTAATACCCCCAGTATGCTATGAAGCCGTTGGCATTGCCCCTACCAGTCCTTATGTTCTTCTCACTCAGTAATTAATACGATAGTCAATCTATTACTTACTTGGAAATATAATTTTTATTTTCTTCGATTAACCTCTTGTGTACTGTTGGCATGGGGAGATCACATAGAGACGATGACTAACTCAGGCCTGGGTGAAACTAAGATAACAACGATAGCGTCAGCTTTCTCCAGTTGTCATCCATGGAGCGACAAAAATGCCCTCGTCCCGGTCAAGTTCCTCGTCTTTCGAGAGATTACCGCGGCAGCCGGATGAATATTCATTAAAATCGCAAGATGATTCCGACAATAGCCAACTAGTAGTAAATGGTCGGGGCAGCTTTGAGCCCGCTCCAGACCACGGAGAACAGAGCACGAGCGAGCCTCTGCTCCCCACTTCTAACTATTGTCCTCCTGCTCAAAGGCCAAAGCGATTCTCGTGTACTGTCGCTGGCATCCTGGACTGGATGCGTGGCCCAGCGCCGCCGCACAAGTATCGGATCAACCCCTGGCTGGCCCGATGGCAGACTGCGCCCGGCCGTCTCATCGACCGCCACTTTCGCAGCACGAGAGCGAAATTCTGCCTTCTTCTAGCCTCTCTTCTGTTATGGGGGATTGTATTTCTTTCCATCTTGCATGCGAGTGTGGCAGGCCAGGAAATCCCAGGCTACGGAAACCCAGTGAAACTTTCGTGCTGGAGTAAACTTTGGTATGATCCGAGACCCCAGATTCGCGACTTCAGGCTAATGTGTATGTATGCAGGTCAAATGCAACCAACTGTGGGCTTGATGGAGATTACTGTCGTCCATTTGGTGAAGAAACATTCGCATTTCGCTGTCCTGCGGGTTGCTCGTCCTTCATGGTTCTTGAGCCGTATTTCGTAGGCCCCCAGGAAATCAATTACCAGCAACTTGTTATTGGAGGTGGTACCGACCAAGACCAAACCGAAGCAGTCTATCGAGGCGATTCTTCTATTTGTCAAGCTGCAATGCATGCCGGGCATCTTGAGGACAGCAAGGGTGGCTGTGGTGTCCTGCGTCGGACGGGCAAACAGAAAAGGTTCCCGGCAAGCGAGAGAAATGGCATTTTAAGCGTTGAGTTCCCATCTTACTTTCCGCTCTCCTTCACCTTTGATGGTGCCGAGTCCTTAGAAGAGGGAGCTCTCGATTGTCAGGATCTCCGCTGGCCGCTGTTTACATTTTCCGTCATTGTATCAACAGTCTTCTCTCTGGCAGTCACAACACCAGCAGCATTCTATTCTTCCATCTTTTTCATCGTCTACTTCCAAGTCGCCCTCTCATCTGATCCCCCGTACTCCCCAGACTACTACGAAATAGTCTCAACAGCCCTTGGCCGCTTCCTGCCCTGCGCATTCGTCGGCTTCGCCATCTACTACTTCTGCATCCGCCGCACATTAAGCGACCTAGACGCCCACTGGGATAAGACCATCCTCTGGCTTGGGCCCTGCTGGGTTGGCGCTCTCAACACAGACACTTTCGATAAAATCCCAATATCGCGCCTCACACCCCACGACATCGAGCAACAACCCGGTGCTATCCCAGCACTAATCACCATAATCGTCATCCTCATAGCAATAGTACTCACACAAGCCATCGCATTCCGCAACGAAGGCCGCATGCCCAAGATGCTGGGCGTCTACGGTATTCTGGTCGGTGGTGTCATTATCCTCCTCCTCGTCCCAAACATGAACCTCCGCATCCACCATTATATCCTAGCCCTACTTTTCCTGCCTGGTACAACACTGCAAACTCGCCCCAGCCTCCTCTATCAAGGCCTTCTAATGGGTTTATTCATAAATGGCATCGCAAGATGGGGCTTTGACTCAATCCTCCAAACCTCTGCCTCCCTCCTTGACGGCGCCCAATTAGGCTCCATCCTCCCTGAAATTGCGTCATCCATAGTCAGCATCTCATCTGCAGATAATATATCTTTCGATTTTGACTCTCTCGCCCTTCCCGCCGAGGTTGATGGCCTGAGCGTCATAGTCAATGACGTCGAGCGATTCCACACATTCCGCGCGGACGGTGCCGCAGACGTCAAAATCCCGAGCTGGAATTGGACGAGACTCGAACCAGAGGACCCTGAGTATTTCCGCTTTGGATACATTAAGGAGAATGCCATGGGCGGGTTCTGGTATGAGGATTTCACGTCACCTGTGATGTGGGCGGGTGATGGGAGGTGGAATGCTTCTGTTCCTGCTCCTAGTTCTGGCGAAGCCTCTGACGAAGATTCTAGATGATTATGAGTGTATATTCTGGGATTGATTTACACTTTTTACATGAAGCCTGCCTCTATTGTAACATAGGTGGAGTTTATTGGATTCGCCAGAGATGTATGAGCTTCTTGGCTTTTGTATTTGCAATGAATAGACATGCCAAACGTCTGCCAGACAAACCTACCTAGATAAACCTACGTAGCTCTCATTGAACAATATACGACAGAAACATTTTATATGATGCCAATGCTGTAAATGTATAACAGGCCTGGGCTATGTGATTGAGTTCAGCCCCTTAATTATATTTATATCTTCTAGACCGAGAACACCAGGCTCCAGGCTCCATAACACGCTCTATCAAAGACAGACCAAATATGACCTTTCCAGTGCCTGTCCAAAACGTATATGTGCATTCCAGTACAACGCATCTCAAAGTGAACAAAAGACCGATATACCATGACCGAAGAATCCACAACGCTAATATTAAACAACAGTAGTATGCAATGTTGACGCAAAAAAATGTAAAGTCAGAAAATGTTAATTCTTGTCTTTCTGATGCTTGGAGCATTTCACCTGTACGATTTCTTGGTGCCCACCATCGGAGACAACAAGCGCGGTTAGTTTGCCGCCTTTCACGCATCCCGAGTCTAGGCCCTTGGTGTATTCCTTCAGAGAGAGGCCTGATTTAGAATCGTGGCCGTAGATTACTGTCATGATGCTGTTTTTGGATTGAAGGGCAAGGGATTGGTGTTTGTTGAACAGCTGTAGAGGTTAGTATAACTGGCTCCAGCGAAAAAAATAGTAATATCGGGGCTGAGCATACTTTGGTCCACTTTACACCCTTGTCTCGCGCTGAGCTGGGTACGTGCGTTTCTAGGTCGACGGTGCGCATATTCATGACACTATAGGGATCCTGCCTGTCCAGATCGACGCCCGGAACGAGGCCGCCGTGGACGACGACAACTTGGCCCATCTCGGTGATTTGGCCAACGTTGAGGATTACGGGACAGGCATTGAGCCATTCTGCTTGGCCGGTGCTCAGCTGTAAGGCAAGTTCGCGGGATTTGTCATTGAATGAATCATCGGTGATGTTTGATTCGAGCATGTCGTTGCGGAGTGTTAAGATTCGGTCTTCATGGTTGCCGCGAACACAAGAGGCGTTATATTCTCGCGCTAGATCGACAACCCCCAGGCTATCGGGCCCTTTATTGATCAAGTCACCGGTGAAGACTAGATGGTCATGGGTCGCGTTGAAAGATAACTTGTCAAGTAAATTTTCCACTGTTCACCGAAAATGAGCACTAAGTTAAGCTGAAATGAAACGGGAAGGTCGATACGCACACTCGGACTTGCACCCATGCACATCCCCAATGAATATCAGCCGTCTCTCACTCGGCATATCATCCTCGGGTACAATAGCAGCGGGTAGGAGCGTTTTATTCAACTCTCGCAACTGAACCACCTTTTCTAACTGCGGTAGCGCATTGGCACCAAACCAACCCCCGACGACATCCTCCTGCATCGGATCCAGGGAATTCAGGATCGCCGACCTCTCTTCTAGCCTTGGGGACAGAATATAATGCCAACCGAGGACGCAAAAGATAGCAAAACTGAGGCATACGATCGCGTATCGTCGGAATCGTGGCACCGTGACGACTGACGTGATCATCTGTACCCATTGCCGGGGGTCGGAACGGTCCGAGGAGGAAGGAAGCTGGGTATATTTTGCGCTTGATTTCCATTCGTTTCGGACATAGTTGATTAACGGGCCGGTGAAACGTGTGAGCCTAGATGGCGAAGAAGACGGAGGACGGTGGTACAGGCCGTCGTTGTCGGAGATGTCAAAAGTCTCACGCCCCCGGCCGCTCTCCGCCATTTGTGCGCGTGAAAGAGCCAGATCTTGATGTTTCCGTAGTCGAGACGTAGTGTAGGTAAGTATAGACGAGTCTCCATGAGACGAGAGACAGCCAGGCTCCAATTAATGCCTCGAGGTGAGGGAAAGTCTCACAGACTGTAGTTGCGGAGGTACCTACCCAGGAATGTGTCGCGTGCGATGTAACGATAAGATAAGCTCTTGGCCTACTCCGGAAGTTTCGCTAATCTTGGATGTGGTCCTCGAAGACCCTCGAGGTCCTCAGCTGATTGACCTTTGTATTATTTTTGTTCCTTATTGCCGTGAATATTCCCTACCACTGTACTTAATCAAAGGAACAGTGGATGTTCCTCTTTGCACTGACAACCCGACAGGAACAAGCAGTCAGCCCTATGCAGCACCCGTGATAGAGTTTAGGCTCTTATAGTCAAGGATCGTCACGGCCGCGGGTTCTATATTCAACATGTAAAACTAATATACACTGACATATCATCTAAATTGTTCGTAATATTCCATCTCCCTTCTGCGCTGGTTCACCTTCTGGAGAACATCCTCGCTGTAGAGCTCTTCCACCTTCTTTCCACCGAGAAGGACCTCTTTTTCGTGGCGCGTGGCTTCCTCCTTGGTCATCAACACCAAGTCTTCCAACTTAAAAGGAACAACAATTTGCCCTTGCTTCTCCCACTCGGGATCAGGCTTAAATCCCTGGGGTGGACGGTTCCACAGAGTGAGCTGCAGTCGGCTTGGAAGACCAGTCACGACACTCTTGCCTCGCCAGATCTCATCAACAAGGTATATAACATCCTCCTTACTCAACGGCAGACGAAGCCCGATAGGTTGGGTGCCGATCTCCGCTCTAGCAAGACGCTCGAGGGTTACAAGTAACGCGGTGTGGATGGTGTCATGAAGCTTATCTTTGCCCTTTCCACCCATGCTGTAATCTGTCGGGTATCCTGAGACGTCACAAATGACATGGTTGGCAAGGGTGTATCCGAACACGGCAGGCATAGTTCCAAGCACCGGGAGAATTCGGGATCGGAAATCTGGCAGTACTGAGAGTTCATCTACTTGGCCCTTGGTGAACTCTTCCTCCGCTAAGGGCAAAAGGGTTGCTTTCCCAGGCCCGGGTTTTTCTGTCGAAAAAACCACCGGAATTCCAGAGTTCACGCCGAGAAGTTTGAGCCGCCTCCGAGTACTGCGTGAGAGCCGGTCGTCTGAGCTGACTGAGATATCCGTAATCATGACGCGCGTAGGGTCTGATTTGCACCCGGCACCCATAGAAGAGATAACAGGAATCGAATGCGAGTGGCAATAGTGCAGTAACTCAACCTTAGATTGTATATTATCGATGCAATCGAGCACGTAGACAGGCTTCTGTCCTTTGTCGACATCATCCAAGGACCACGGAGCCAACAAATCATCGGCACCAGATCCGCCAAAGAGCTCATTCCGGCAGTCAAACTTAACCCACGGGACAACTTGCTCCAGTCTCCTACGGATACAGTAAACCTTCGAAGTCCCCACGTCCGCCAACGTGGCGAGCGCATGTCGGTTCAGGGAAGAGAGAGTGACTTGATCAAAATCAATTAACCGTATCTTGGACACGCCTGACCGGGCTAGCGAAGCCGCAGCATGCGACCCAACACCCCCACATCCAACAACAATTATGAATGAAGAACGTAGTTTAGCAAGGCCGTCATCCTTGAGGAAAACGTGGTTACGGGCGAGCTGTTCGAAAATAAGCTCTACATGAGAAGGAACATCTTTAGCATCAACTCTTCGTCCGCTACTAATTGAGCGGAACCAATGCTTACCTTCGTCATAGTCCCCCTCTTGTGCCCTTAGTGCAAGAGCTGCACCACGCTCATCCTCCTTGCTCCAGTATGGGTTGGGCGGCGCGGCACCGAATTCATTCAATTTCTCTGCGTGATGTTGCTCGTTGATTTCTGGTATAGAGGCCTTCAGTTGCTTCACAGCTTCCCGTCTCCTAAACTTCTGGAAACCAAGAATCGCACCCGCAACCGCAGCTCCGGATAGCACCGCGGTTGCGGCAAGCTGGGCCTGGTGGGAATGCTGTTGCCGTTGAATCCAAGACGCCATTTTTGAATAGGTATACTTGAGCAATTTCTTTTTGAGCTATTCGAGGGGTGTTTGATACGTCGGAGACGTTGATCAAGTCATGAGCTGTGCCTCAAAACCTGTATACACCTATTAGAATAGCAACTTTTTTTTGAACGAGCAATAGGGTAACCATATCTCCGGATACATGACAATAGATAAAACGAAGAATTAAGCTTACCATTATAATGCAATCATTAAATCTCGTGGAGTCATAAAGCTGTTTAAGTTGAGGTTCTGAGAGCTTCCGCAAACTGTGATGACATCGTTGGTCACGTGTCGGGGGCGCAATTTATCCCGCGTGGTTGAGAGATTCAAGTCCTCTTCCTCCATAAATCAGCAGGTATGACTTTCCTCACATTTCCTCATTTCAATCATCGTGTTGCGCTGGGAATATCGTCTAATGTTTGCCAATGCAGGTTCGAGAACCGAACCTTCGCTACGATCCCAATGACGATACAGCATTCACACTAGAGCTTCTCATGACACCTTGATCAACCGGACAATTCCGACAAATGGACATCATCCTTCGTACAATATTTGTAGCTGAATGGAAGATGGCATTTGCCAAGTGTGGGTGATTGAGTTTGAACAGAGATCTAAGGGATTGGCGGCTGTTTTCTTTTCGCGCGACTTGGACAGCATCGCGTCGCGAAATTGAGTAACATCTCCTTTTTCCTATATCATTCGGCTTCGCGCAAAGGCCGCTTTCTATCGTATTAAATGTCTCAGTATTCGATAGTATCATTCGAGCATTGCTAAAGAGTGCATTATTCCAGTTCCTGTGTTTACTTCTCCGATTGAACCTGCATGTCAGCACCACATTGTTTATAAGCCGACTCGAATAAATCATGTTTTTCGCTTCGCATTTCCTTCAGTCTTATTCATTTTATTGTCTTCCTTGATTGAGAACTGCCCGGTGATGAGTACTTAGTACCAAAAGCCAAAGTTGTATGATAACCGGCCTCCGAATGTCTTCTTGCGAAGCACGTCAGCCTGGATATCGATGAGAACCTGAGAGCTAATCTGAGGGTGGTTGCAAGATTGAAGATGTTTGGATTCCAGTGTTTTGTTGCATAGATTAAAATAGAATATCTTGGCCTGTGGTTGAATGGAACAAAAGGCGATTACTACCTCAAGTAGCCTCAAGTACTAGACACAGCGGCGTTGGCTTCTGAAAGTTCCTGTAAAATTGTGGCAGATCCATGGCCGACATGTCTGTCTGAAGTGTGGGCCTGTCAAAAATCAGACATTCCATTATCACCAACCAAGCAATTGGTGACTAGAGCCAGGGAAGAAGCAAGCGAGATGATGAGTTACCGTTGTATTCGGAGTTCTCAAACTGGGATCGTCAACCAAGGTTAATCTATGCGGCGTAGTCTAGCCACTTCGAAACCGCCGGCTGAGGTTACAAGCAACCTCAAGCGGGGTTGTTCCTGGCTCCTGGCAAGGATCGAAACGGGCAGTCTCGCGATTGGGCAGAGAAAGGCGTGCGCTCCTTGGCTTTTCTGACGCCCCTGCCGACTATAGGTTGTATGTAGATTTCGTTCCAGGTCGACATGAGGTGCAAATTCATGAACGACAAACAGTAAAGCGGCTCGAAAGCTTCTTCAAAGGTCTCTCTACCATGTCTGATCTGAGGCGTTGTGGACTCATTCTCGTGCCTGAGGCCTGTTATTCGTCATAGTTCTAGACTGTCAAGATTGTGGTGGGCCCTGTAACCTTCAATGCTCCCGCTGGTCAAATGGGCTGAAAGAACGGCCGGAAACGGCGACGTCCACGGAATTGCCCACCCGAGATACAACATTGTTCCACGCATCTTACAAGGAAGTTCTGATAAGGTCTGAAATGGTCCGAGGTAAATCCACAGGTGCCCTGGCTACCAGGGATATGGCCAACGGTGTTTCACAGGATGATCCTGACTTGTTGCAGTGACGAGTTACACCTACGGACCCAACGACGCACACCAAATTTCAGAGGGTATAAAACACTTCCAACCCCTGAAACCCGTCTAGTTTCCCTGTCAATAATTCCAATTCCCAAGGGTCTATAAAGCGGCGTCTTGTCAGCATCCGAAGTTCCCTAGCCTTGGAGCTTCCACGCGGCGCTGCCGCCACAAGACCTTAGTATTCGCTGGCCCTCCCCATCATTACGACAGTGCTTGCGAATTTCTCGCGACCTTCTCGAGTTTTTATTCCGACATAATTCCTTCACATTGCGGTGGAGGCCTGCGGTTGCGTTCTGAATTGCGCTTGTGGTTGACTGTTCACCTTGTTTTTGAGCAAAAATAGCCTGACATCATCCGACGCGCTTAAAACCGAGCCGACAACTGTTAACACTCGCGCCTGTTTTCCAAATTTCACCAACTCCAAGCAGACATGTGCGACTCTCGAACAGCCATTCGGTGAAGATAAAGTCTGGCTGGGTTTCCAATTTGCCTGTTGAAAAGGCAGACGAGAATTTGTTGCCGATCGGGAGTCGCGGAAGCACTAGTTGGATCTCGATTTGGCCGAGACCTTCATTTCGACGGAATTTTTATTCACCACCCTGCAGCAATGCTCACATTCAGGAAGGCGCTTATTATAGCTGCCGTCTTGATTTCATTGATATTATTTCTCCGACCCTCACCCTCATCTTCTGAAACTCCAGTGGCCGTGTCGCCTGAGGCGGTTGCTGAAGACATCAGTCACGAAACAAAGGAGCAGTCGTCTAGTCAGTTGCCGAGTCAAGATGCAGGATCTCAACAGCAGCCGCTGAAGCAGCCACCACCACCTAATGCTTCTTTGGCTGAGCGTTTACGTTACCACTTCCCTTATAGCCTAGAGACGAAGTTTCCTGCGTACATTTGGCAAACGTGGAAGTATACACCGGCTTCTGTGTGGTTCGATCGTGACCTCCGAAAACAAGAGGCGAGCTGGACTGATTTAAACCCCAACTTTGTCCACCAAGTTATTCCGGATGACACCGTTCGCTATCTTATCAAGTATCTCTATGGCTCCGTCCCTGAGGTGCTCGAAGCGTTCGATGCGTTGCCGCTTGCTGTCCTCAAAGCCGACTTTTTCAGGTATCTAGTTCTCCTTGCACGGGGTGGCGTCTACAGCGACATTGACACGACGGCATTAAAACCTGTATTGGACTGGCTTCCAAGCACTCTTGACCTGTCAACTGTTGGCTTCGTCGTCGGTATCGAGGCTGATCCTGATCGGCCTGATTGGGCAGACTGGTACTCGCGCAGAGTCCAATTCTGCCAGTGGACCATTCAGTCCAAACCCGGCCATCCAATCTTGATAGATATCGTGTCATACATTACTCAGGAGACCCTGCGTATGAAAAACGCGGGAATACTCAAAAAAGGAAAGATGGACAAAACCATTGTTGAATTCACAGGCCCAGCAGCCTGGACTGACGCCGTTTTTCGATACTTCAATGATCCCGAATATTTCAGCATCGAACCTGGGTCCACCCACAACCTTACGTACGAGGATTTTACGAACCAGGTTGAGTATCAGAAAGTTGGTGATGTTGTGGTTTTGCCGATCACCAGCTTTAGCCCCGGTGTAAACCAAATGAATGCTCAGGGTACGGACGATCCAATGGCCTTTGTCGAACATGACTTCGAAGGTAAGTTGTCTCTCATAGCTGATATTTGCGAATGATAAAAGCTGATAATTTTGTTAGGAACATGGAAAACCGATCCCTCACTTTAGAGAAACGATGTATTAGGCCACTGGGAATAAGTCTTTCCACTTCACTGGTAAAGCACGTAAACTCTCGAATACCACCATTACCCACGACCGCATCTGAAATGCTCATCATACCGGAACCAGCTACGCCATGAATTATGATTTAGTTGAGCCTCCGAAGGCCACCAATGCTCTTGCTTGATCGCGCGACGATCATCGCTAGTTGGAAACCGCATTAACCCATCCAGACTCCCTCGAAAACTGCTGCAGAATTCTCAAATTCATATGCAAAGGACAGGGTTTCCCGCACATAGCACAACCAGCGCACATTGATATGCTCGGTAGTGTCCACCGCACACGGGACAGGATATCTTACCTAGCTGTTGCTCTTTGTTACTGTTGGCCATAGGCTCCGTCTGTTGACGCAGAGTTACTTCGTCCTTCAGAGGTACGAAACTGAGTTGCGAGAGCCATTGCTTCTGGCGTGGGCATCTGCATCGGTAATACTTCTGGCACATTTGCCTTACGTGTATACGTACTCTTCGATTCTTGGGTGTTTAATGATAAATAGACATAACAGAATGTAATATCATATTTGATAATTGGTTATCTGATAGACGCATCGGTTTACTCGTCTATCAGCAGTGTAGACCATCGTTTTATTACCTTTGTACAGGCGTCACAGTTCATTGTATACCCCGGGCTAGCCAGCCAGCGCTAGGGAAGGCACGCTCCACACTGGGATGGGATCCGTGCCTGCCTATTTGCAGATGGGTTAGCTCGATAGTATCTAAGGCTAATAGAATTTCCAAGTATCAATGGATATCGAACCCATCCCAATCCCCGTGGCTAGCGCAAGAATGTTTGAAGGTAATTTAGGACAGGTGGGGAGAGGACGGAAGAGACCTATTTATTGGGTTTGCTATAATCTACTTCATAGGACTTGTATTTAGGGAGCAAGCGTAAAAACTTCATAATTTTTGGTTAATTACCATGCATGGACTTCGATATTCCACGAGATACTGGTATTAATTAAAGTACACAATTCATTGACATATATACTCAGCGTAGTAGCCAACTAATTAGTGGCCGACAAACTGAGAGATTCGGATAATATTTCGACAGTAGATAATGAGTAGATCGTGGAAATTTGGAAATGGACGCCCAAGATGCGCGTCTGGGGTGTCCCAAACGTGAGAAAGAAAAAAGCCAAATGCCAGCACCTGAAATCAAGAAGCAAGAAGCGTAACATAGTCGTTATAATGGCCGTCTGGTTTCTCTTGTGAGATGGTGGTTGGAATGGGTAAGTGTAACTCATTCCCAATATTCTGGAAGCAATAATAGACAAGAAACCAGTTGAAGAAAAATATGTCCAAAAAAGGGACAAGAATTAACATGGAAGAATAGGCAAATAGGCAAGGCGTAGACCAATCCGTCGAAAATTCCCAGCCAGCGACCAGTCCATAGAATGTCTGATAGGTGAGAATAGATACCATTAGGTAATGAAGCGGCAGAAGTACTGACGCGAATAAACAATTGGAGGGACCGAGCCGGACATAGCGTATTGGACCCGAGCCCTTGTGAATGCCCGAGGCAGGTATAATAGCTGCTCTATGCTCTGGGATCTGAACCGGGCCGAAGCCCGCTAGAAATATAAGCTCGTGTAAACCATTCTTAGAGCATCTGGCGCAATATTCACAAGCGTTGGATAGACGGCTAGTGCGCCGAAACCAGCGGTTGGGCGCCAGCCTAGAAATCACTGAACAAGGTTTCATATTTGGATCGCATTTCATCGGTATACAAGCTTTGCGACTTCAGGTCAGGATCAGGGTACTCTTCGAAGTTCCCCGTATCCGCAGGATGGTCGACACGGGGTATAATCGGGCCTTTGATACGGCGATAATAAAGATCATCCCAGTTGATATCCGAGAAGAAAGGATGCGATCTTACCCTTGCCGAGCCACCTGATATGTGCCCAAGACGCTCAGCTGGGATTGTCTTGCATAGTAAAGAAATTATGTTTTGCGCAGCTGGTGACATCGTTTGAGGGAAGCGTATTCTACCCTCGACAATTTGTTCGTAGATGCGCATTGGATTCTGGTCCCAGAAAGGAGGTTGTCCCACCAAAAACTCATATATTAGAATTCCCAAAGCCCACCAATCTACGGCAAGGCCGTGCCCACTATTATGTATCACCTCGGGGGCTAGGTACTCTGGAGTACCACAAAGTGTATATGTTTCGCGGTCACCGATTTGCTTCGCGAATCCGAAATCAACAAGCTTGATATGCCCATCGGCATCGAGAAGAATATTCTCCGGTTTCAGATCGCGATAGACCACGCCTTCAGCATCATGGAGAAACTCGATCGTCATGGTAATCTCGGCGGCGTAAAATTTCGAGGTGTTTTCATTAAACCGCCGTGCGCGACGTAGATAGCTGAATATCTCACCACCGGGACAGTAGTCCAGCTCGAGGGACGTCAGCCAACAGTTAAAGGCAACATTTAGGGAGCTTTAGACATACCAGCATATATAGGCTTTGATTGTCTGAGAAAGATGCGACCAAGGTCGTGATAAATGGGTGGCCCGACACATCCGCCAGTGTCCTCCGTTCGTTGCGAACATGTTCGACTTGCTTGAGTTTGATAACTGTGGAGCACAAAATCAATCTATTAGCCGTGAATCTGGTCATGAAATAGCGCCGAGTCGTTCGTACCATCCGCTTTCCTCAGGATTTTTAGCGCGTACACCTTCTCCGGACTCGTTTTCTCATCCCGAAATCTCGCCAGCCATACTCGGGCGAAAGTCCCTGCGAAGGATGCCGCCATTAGAAAATCGTCACATTGTAATTAGAAGATAGAACTTACCGGTACCAAGAGTTTTCAACAGAATGAAGTCCCTAACACTGAGCTGGCGCGATGCTATAGTTAACTGCTTTTCCTCCGGCCGCTCAGTGATGACGAAAGGGTTCGGATGTCGCTGTGTCTGTCGTCCGGTAGAAGCTACCGTACGCTTTTCACTTTCGGCAAATTCATCACGGCTTTGGCGATCGGAAATAGCTGCGGCCGATGAGCCCTGCACACCACTAGGTGTCGAGGGGTCGACGGTTCCTGAAGCCATTGGGATGGCTCGAGATCATGTCTCGGAGAAATGGTGGGGACGGGGCGATGGCACGAGCGAGGGTGAACGGTAGGATGGCAATTGAGCGACCGGCGAGTCCACCTATTGAGACACAGGAACAATAGAAAAGGTATCGAGGGCCAACATAACAGATCGAGGGCGATGCGGAACAAAGAACAGAGTGGTATCCGCACTGCGGGATGAAAGAGGATTTTTGGATCGCGGCGCTACGGAGACTGACGTTACCGCTGGCGGGGCAGAAGCACCATGTAAAAGCCACTCCCTATCAAAACAAAGGATGCAGGAATCACGATGCTCAGGGAGAATACAATATGCGGAATCGAGTACTCATGTTAAAAAAGGTTCTACCTGATGGTATTTGTAGTCCAAAACACGTGTATACATGTACTAGTACAGGAACTCGTCCTCCGAAAGAGGTTAAAAAGAGTACTTGAGGAACTGCACCGACGAGACCCAGAACAGTCACTTAATAGATCGAGAATGGGTTCATCCTGGGGTGTCCAATAACGCCGTCATAGCCAGGAATTCTATACAACAGAAGCGTGATAATCGGAGAGATAGATGGATGGGGGGAAGGAGATTAAGCCGTCAAATAAATCGGATACCAGCCGCAAAGCTCCAACACCTCAACCCGAACTTTTCGAGTTAAGAATAAGACCGACAATTAATCTGCCAGAGTTAGTGAGGTAACAGAGAATAGTGCGATACACACGAACCCATATAGCCCAAGGACTTCACCGAAAATGAGAATGAGAATCATTCCAACGTAGACCCTGGATTGCTGCATGTAGGCGCGGACTCCCTAAACTTGTCGTTAGACACTAAGTCTGGTGCAAATAACTGTGAGCTCTTACAGCGTCTCCAACGATCCCGATTGTGTATCCGGCAGCTACTCCGGCAAGACCAACCGACAATCCTGATGCAAGATGCATGCATGCTCTTCACCCGCGGTTAGCATTTATCTGTTACCGCATAAATAACCCTTCGCATAGGACGTACGCATATAAGCTCATGGCCGAACTTGGGTCAAGGTCACCCGCGATGAGGACAGCAATAACGAGACCGTAGACGGCGATAATACCGGACATGACGACGGGAATTAAAGACTATCGTGATGTGAGATTAACAAGGGTACCGACAAGCTTATGGCTATAGAAAATGGACCACTCCTACCTTCATGATCAAGTCAGATCTGAACGTTCCCACACCAGAAATACCAATTCCAGCTTTCGCTGTGCCATATGCCGCACCCGCCGCTATTTCAGTGAGCCTCTGAATTGTGAATATATTCTAGGACCGGAGAACGTACATCCGAAGATCATCTATCGCAGCTTTGTTAGCTTGGGTGGTTGCGACTCAGTTGGGACACTGGGACACTTACGGCTGAAGCAATTCCCGCCTATTTTTCACAATAACGATCAGAATGAACGATTCTCTAGTGCAGAGTTGAAATGCATTCAATAACTTACAAATGACAGGAACGGGGCGAACTTGGGTGTATACTCGCTGTCCGCCATGCTGCTGAGTTGTTCTGTTTGGATAAAGGGGGACGAGGTAGAAAAGAACGGAGGGAGCTGAAGCGCCGCCTCGGAAATAAAGAACTTCAAATGTCGAGGGAGAAATATATAGAAATGATGAAAGGGGCAGCTGGAGTGTGTCGCGCGAGGGTTCTCGACAGCAAGAGAGAAGAGGTGACCCAAGTTGCTTGCGTGGGCCGCCGTACTCCGTATAGCCACCTTCGCCCGTCTGGGTTAAGCCTGACAGACATGTGCCTGCTCGACCCAACAACTGACCTTCATTTCCACCCCCGTGCTCTCTTTTCTTCACGCACGGCATTCACGACCACGGATTCCCTCTACGACCACCGCTCCTCCTTCACCCGCAAAGGCCTCTGCCGACCCGGTCTGGTTTTCCGCTCGCCAGACTCGATCCCCCGATCGGCCAATCTACGCTTCAGGGAAGGATGCTGAGGTTATGAACTGCATAGGCACTGGTCTGCCATTGCGCTCAAGGCTCCTACTTCACTTCGATCCTTAGACTTCACCACCCGGTGCCACCATTCGCATTTTGAGGCATGAGATATCATTGAAGGACTATTCGTATCCTGCATTTTCCTTCTCAATTTCCTGATCTTGTCTTTATTACCATCTGCCTTTTCATTGCTTTTCGATCGACTATCACTTAATTGCTGTGGAGTACAGTTTGTCAACCCCCCTCTTCTCCCCATTCCGCTATCTCCACGAATCCAACGACAACCCGAAACGTCACTGTACGCTTTTTACGACCGGACTCGATAATCCTATTTCTCCTACGATTTCCCACGCTTTTCGCCTTTTTGTCGCCTTCGGCGTGTACTGTCCGACAACCAAACTAGAGGGATAAGTCAGGAAAAAGAGGGAGGAGACATCCGACAATATGGCCGACATAGGGGGCCAACAAGGCCGGAACTACCGGCCTTACGGCCATCCCTCATCTGTCCAGCGTGATGCTGCATTTTCAGAAATTTTTGGCGGAGCACCGCCGCCCGGGCGCTCGCAAACCATGACATCGCAAACGCCCCAGTTCTCCCAAGACCGGGCTCATACCATGTCTTCGCAGGTTCCACGCCCGCAAATGCAGAGGGCTCCTCCGCCACCACAACGCCAAATGCAGAATGGATACCCACCGAGTCAACCAAATGGGTACTACCAGGCATACCCCGGGCAAGCAGCGACCATGACTTCGCAATCCGCCCAGGGCGCTCCTCGACCATATCCCGGACGTTTTGCATACCCTCAACCTCAGCGCTTGGATTCAAGACAAGCTCCGGGTCCCCCTTACCAAGATCCAAAGGGGTATAACCGAGCGGTTCCCCATCCAGCTTTGAATTCGGATGCCTACAGGTCAAGGTCAATGGCAAGGATGGGAGGTCCTCCCACTCATCAGCCCCCAGCGAATAGCTTCAATCATACTTCCGCAACCGCTTTTCGCCAGCAACCGTATAACCCGGCTACCCCGATGACTGCCCAAGGACGAGTGGTGCCGGAAAGGCACGGAAACGAACGCGCTATGTCTCTGACCTCCTACTCCGTCGATCGTGAGCCGACTCATACCACAAGAACTGGGCGAGTTATTCCAAATAGGCGACAGCCGTCCGGCCCTTCCCAGCCGCCCATTCCCCAAGAGCCAACAGACTTCTCTGAGTACGTCAACGGAGGGTCTCGCCTGCCAAGTGACGGGCCACCACCGGCACCGGCACCGGCACCAGCACGAACATTTTCTATGGCATCTACTGCTGTGCCTGATCGAACCATGAGCATGCAAAGTAACCTTACACACAAGCCGAGCGTTCAAACAACCACGACTCTTGTCTCAAACAACTCGCGTCGCAGCAAGCAGTTTTCTGTAAACCCGGCGCTTCTTTCGCGAGTAGCGGATGCATTTCGTGAGCACATTGCGCTTAGCGAGAGGCAAAAGAACGGCCTGTCGTATCAGAATGCCTTTTCGGGTGCTGATGCGGTTGATGCTATCGGTGGGATCATTAAGACTACCGATCGAAACCTGTCTCTTCTCCTTGGACGTGCATTGGATGCGCAGAAACTCTTCCACGATGTCACCTATGACCACCGTCTTCGAGACGCCCCTGGTGAAATATACCAGTTCAAAGAGACACTCGGTGAAGAGGCGCCGAGCTCTGAAGTCAACGGCGTTTTCACTCTATTAACGGAATGTTATTCGCCAACATGTAACCGCGAGAGCCTATGCTATTCAATTGCTTGCCCGAGGCGACTCGAGCAACAAGCGAGGCTTAATATGAACCCGCTCCCGGTCTTGCGGAGTTCTGCTTCTAAGAGTAGTCTTCACGGCGATGATGACGGTGACGATAACCAGAAACTGTGGATTAACATGGTGCCGAAGGAGGTCTCGGACACCGTCGATGACAAGGAAAAGAAACGTCAGGAAATCATTTTCGAAATCATGTACACGGAAAGAGACTTCGTTAAGGACCTGGAATACCTGCGAGATTTCTGGATGAGACCACTACGCTCTGCCGCCAATTCGCCAATACCCGAACACAGAAGGGAAAAATTCATTCGAACCGTGTTTGGCAATTGTTTGGATGTGTTAAAAGTCAATGGCGCCCTCTCTGAGGCGCTCAACGGAAGACAAAAGGAAAGTCATGTCGTGAAAACAGTCGGAGACATCTTCTTGCAACATGTGCCACGTTTCGACCCGTTCATCAAATATGGTGCAAACCAATTGTACGGCAGATATGAGTTTGAGAAAGAAAAATCGTCCAATCCAGGGTTTGCGAAGTTTGTTGAGGAGACTGAACGTCTCAAAGAGTCTCGGAAATTGGAACTGAACGGTTATCTCACCAAACCGACCACTCGTCTCGCGAGATACCCTCTTCTGCTAGAGCAGGTCGGGAAGAATACCAAGGAAGGTAGTGCGGATAAGGAAGACATTCCAAATGCTATCAAAATCATCAAGGACTTCTTGTCACGCGTCAACGCCGAAAGTGGAAGAGCCGAGAACCATTTCAACTTGGTGTCGCTCAACTCTTCTCTGAAGTTCGGCCCCGGCGACTATGTCGATTTGAAGCTAACTGAGGAAAATCGACAAATGTTGACGAAAATGGCGTTCAAGAAAACGCCCACTGATACATCGGAAGTCACGGTATATCTCTTCGATCATGCTGTTCTTCTGGTAAGAATCAAGGTCGTGAACAAACGCGAAGAATACCGAGTCTACAGGAAACCTATCCCTCTCGAACTCCTAGTTATCCCACAAATGGATGAAGTTATTCCCAAACCCGGCATTTCGAAGAGGCCGTCATCTGGTCTACTCGCAAACAGGGCCGCCGCAGCCCCAGCGGCCGCAAAGGACACGCTTCCGATAACTTTCAGACATCTTGGTAAAGGCGGATACGAGCAGACACTCTATGCGTCCTCATCACAACAACGGAAGAAGTTCTTAGAGCTGGTGGATGAGCAGCAAACAAAGCTTCGAGAGCGCAATAGTAACTTCTACAACAAGAATATCATTTGTGAAAAATTCTTCAATGCAGTGAACAGGGTTAACTGCCTTGTTCCAATCGGTATGTATTTTTCTTTTTCTTTTTTTTTTTTTTGTTTTTTTTATTTATACCCCATTGGAATATAAACTAACTTGGTGTTCAAGATGGCGGCCGGAAACTTGTATATGGCACAGACAGCGGCATATATGTGTCTGACCGGAACCCAAGAGACAAATCTGCGCGGCCAAGAAGAGTCCTAGATGTCAGTCAAGTGACCCAAATTGACACCCTGGAGGAGTATCAATTGCTTTTGGTTTTGGCAAATAAGACACTATACTCTTACCCCATGGATGCTCTTGACGTCGGTGAAGGGCAGAACTCAGTAGCCAAGAGACCAAAGAAGATCCAAGGCCATGCAAACTTCTTCAAATCCGGGATTGGCCTCGGACGTCACTTGGTGTGTTCGGTCAAGACATCGGCATTATCAACCACTATTAAGGTATACGAGCCGATGGACAATCTGGCAAAGGGCAAAAAGAAATCTACCGTCAGCAAGATGTTCCAGAGTGGACAGGACACTTTGAAACCCTTCAAGGTTCGTGTAACATCCAGTTTAATATCATGGTTCTTGGTCTAATTTAATATCAGGAGTTCTACATTCCTGCCGAATCTTCGTCAATTCATTACCTACGATCAACGCTTTGTGTTGGTTGTGCTCGTGGCTTCGAAGTTGTCAGTCTGGAAACAACTGAAACGCAGTCCCTTTTGGACCAAGCGGATACCTCCTTAGACTTCGTTGCACGCAAGGAGAACGTGAAGCCCATCCATATTGAACGAATGAATGGAGAATTCCTCTTGAACTATAGCGACTTCTCATTCTTCGTCAACCGCAATGGCTGGCGCGCGCGTGCAGACTGGAAGATCTCATGGGAGGGTAATCCCAACGCATTTGCACTTTCATTCCCTTACATATTGGCTTTTGAACCGAACTTCATAGAGTTCAGGCATATCGACACAAGCGAACTGATCCATATAATGACTGGAAAGAATATCCGCATGCTGCATTCTTCTACACGAGAGGTATGACCAAATTCCCCTTATTTACTCCGGTTGGTCACTAATCGGTTCAGATTCTTTACGCCTATGAAGACGATACTGGCGAAGATGTTGTGGCTAGCTTGGATTTCTGGAAGCACAAGCCGCTGCCACAACATTAGTTCCATACAGAAATAGCGTCTGCTTTTGACAGCTTTTAGAACGGGGTTCCTTCTGCTCGCCTCACGGAGCTTCTCCTTTTTTCTTGGTCTTCCGCTCATCCTCTTTCTTTCTCTTTGCTTCCTTTTTGAGCTGTCTCAAAGATTTTCTAATACCTCGATGTTTATTTGGTCCGTATCAGATCAACTTTGATCTCCAATTGGCCATTTATTTCCTGCTGTGTACAATGAAGCGCAAATACCATATGTTCTTTTCTTATCTGCTACCTCTCAGTGGCCCCTCTTGCTACTGTGTTTCTTGCCCAATTCGACATTCGACTCGATTTTTGCATTCGTGTTTCTGCTCCTGTTTCTTTGTCCATCCCCTTGATCCGCGCGGGAATTGTGTATCACGCCTGTTTAACCTGCCATTCGCGCCCATAGCGATTACGTATAGTTAGCTGCAGGGGAAGCTGGCTCTAACCCCGGCCATTCCTCTGAATCGACTGGCTTGGTCATCTGCCCGGTGCATCTAATTGTTTCAGGTGGCGAATTCCGTAGTCTATACGTGTATATACGACCGTGAATAGAGGCAGCTCCTTGTTTAAAAGAGCGCGGAGTGAAAAGAAATGGGCGCTGTGTAAAGGTGTAACACCAAAGATCCCCCCCTGGGGGATATCTGGTCCTATCTAGTATAGAATGCTTTCGGAGAGATTACGTAGGTATACCTTCCAATACCACCATCCTCTGCACCCTCTTAGCCTCGATAGCCGGACCACATTTACAGGTTATTGCGGTCTGGTCTCGGAGGTAACAACATGCGCTGGTGCAAGTCAATGTAAGCCCATCCCCTGAAAGCAAAGTTCGAGCTGCTAACAAGCTTGTTGCCATGGATCTTGTACGGAGTAGGATAAGCACTAATTTAGAGGCTTAGTCTTAGCTGTCTTTCGTCTTTGGGGGTAGCTTTATCTAGTTTAGTGGAGGTTGTGCGAGGAGATTACCCCGAGTATACATACCTAGCTCATAGCTGGGACGGTGAGAATCCGGACCGCCGCGGCGGCTTGTCTGCTAAAGTAGATAGGGTGGGAGTCGATTTTGGATACTATATCCAGATGGTGAAGTTGGAGAGAGGAGGAAAGAGACTGTATGATTGGAGGAACTATGGAATGCAGTCGTAACCTTAAGTTATGATTGAAGTCGAATCATAGAGAGCAATTTTCATCTTTGACGCATTTCTACAAACTTACTAAGACTGTCAAGAAAACTAAACAGGGTCCAATCGTGACGCCTCATGTTAAATGGGGCGATTGGACAGGTGGAACACCTTGACGTTATCATCCATGTGTATATCAGAAGCGCACGGTAGTAATTCCAGAACGAGGGAGTGACGGAACGCTAACAGACGCAAGGCAAGTAAGTACGAAGAAAGAAGGAAGTTCTGTTCTTTCTCTGCATTAAGACGAATTCTAAGTACAGAACGAATCAAGTCAAAAATTAGGCACCACGACCCGCGCAATGTCTTCTGGAGGGTGATAGTAATGGTGGAAGTTTCCGTAGTCTGAAAGCATCCCGTAGCTCTGGTGATCCCCCGGGGTTACGCCGGGGAGCCATGATCGGAAAGGGGAGTTTCCTCGTGATCGTTCTCGCTCGCGCTCACGGAATAATGGGTGGAGACCTGGCTCTGCGACCTCTGTGGGAAGTTGGTTGTTGTGATTGCTGTTGGCTTCGCTACTGCCGGGAGGCCAGTCAACGGGTAATCCGATCGAATCTAAGAAGTTCGTGAAATCTTCGAAATGGTGCGTTTCTTCGGGGTAGTATGTTGTTGTTGGAGCTGGTTTATTTTGTTAGTCGTAGGCTAGGAAAGAAGAAAAGATTGAACGAGACATACTAGACTGTGCAGTCGAATAGCTCGGGTGGTTTGCAAAACTATGGGGGATACCATTCGGGAGTAAGAGTTGGGCTGCTTCAAGGATCTCTGGGTCATGCGTAGCTTCGTTTATCGTAGAATCGAGTAGGCCGTTATCTTGTTGTTTCATGTAGGTGCCCTGGTGCATCGGCCATTGGGGAACTTCGGCATCCTCAGGCGATGGTGGGACGGTATCCTGTTGAGCGGGGTCCTGGATTGAGGAAGTACGGCGTGGCCGCACAGTTGTCGATGCTCGACGAATTCGCTGCTTTGTGTCGTGGTCTGTTCTGTGCTGGGATTTGGGAGAAGTATTCTTCGCATTCGGTGGGTTGCTGTCTTCATGGCCGGTGATCCCCATATGTCTCTTGAGGAGATCGCGACGGGAAAACGCCGCGCCGCAGAAGCAGGTATACGGCTTCTCCTTTGTGTCTGGTAATTACCATCAGTAAATGATTGAGGATATTCCAGGAGGTAAATGTGACTCACGGGTGCGAACGTGACGCTCGAGATGTTCGGTGCGTCGAAAGCTGCGGCCGCAGTGGACGCATGTTCTCGTCTTTGCACCCACGCTCAGGCGCCGCGCGCTCTGAGCGGGAGGGCTGTGAGTAGACGGCGGCTGGGATAGCATCAAGGACATCGTTGTCGAAGTCGAGACTTGGAGTAGCGGAAGATCGCTCCACTTGGAGTAGAAGTGAAAACGTTGAACAGGATTGGGGGATGAGCAAGAACTCCAACGCAGGGAGAGCAGTGGACTAGTAGAAATAGCATATAGGGACAGCTGAGGAATGGGACTCAGGAATCAGGAAGAGGAGAAAACGCCGGTGAACCCCACACTCGACGATGATAGCAGAGCAGGGCAGGTCCAGACGCTGTGATTTCTCCAAATCGCCGGCGTATAACTAGCACGGAGTCTCTCGCCTGTCGGACTTGATCCGTTATAACTAACTGCGCTCTCCCCTCTCTGTCAGTCCCCTCCCCCTCCAGCGTCCAGACGAATATTAATACCGACTGCCTGACTAACAGTTATCTGGCAGACCCGACTGAACCCCATCACCGGACCCAACTCCCCGGCGCTGATCAGACCCGAGAAACGATCCAAGCGCCCATCCCCGGATTTCTAGTTTGGCCCGGAAATGACCGTTCCAGAGGTCGGTCCCGGCTGGGAGAGAGGGCCATAAGCTAAGGCTTCGTGAGCTTGGTTGATCCAGCACCAGCCTCATACCTCTACGAGAAATTGCTAGGAGCGCCAGCGCTCTAGAGGGCAGCTCCAGCGGCAGCGGCAGCTCCGGCAGCAGCAACAGCGCGGGGGCTTTTCCGAGCCGGAGAACTGCCGCACCTAGTTACCTGCGCGCCGCGCGCCCTCTTTCCCTCGTTCCTTTCCAAGGATCCTACAAATGGAATTATGGAAATTGCACCGTCGAATAACGTCCATAACCAATTCCCCGGCCGCTTCTCGCCCCAGCCAGGGATTACATTATCCGTGCCATGACTCGTGCCCACACCAACCATGATTCCGAAGATGGGTCCCAACCGTGTCTGCTCGATCGTGATACCGCAAACGGTGTTTGCTCCCCTGGACAAGATCAAAGGATGAAACAAGGTTATTAGGGTGGCGAGGGCTGATGGTTTACGATCTTTCTCCTGTGGTTCTCCTCATTGGGGGCCGGCCCCAGACAGCAAGAGGCTGGGACCGTTGTTCTCTCCGAAATGTATATTCGCAGACGCAGCTGGCCCGCTTAGCCGTTTAGCACCACTCGCGTTATCGAAAGGCGAAGGACCGGTTAACTTGATAAGTGACTGATCGGCCAACATCTGGCTTCCCCACTGTGGAATATGTGGATCGTGTCATGGGAAGGCGCGACTGTCAGGCTTGTCAGCCAGCTGCGGACCTGGCAGCCCTGCAGCTGCCCATGCGCTCGCTCCCAGCCCAGCCCAGCCAGCATCATCATCATAGCACGATACAATTGCGAATCTGCAGGCGATATCTTTCTTTCAACCCGCGGTATTCGCGGGCGTTGATTGATTGACGAGCGCGGAGCTCGGCAAATAGCGAGAATCCTACGGCCAGAATCCGACTTGGCACGTTTCCTTTCGTCAGGTTACAGACTTAGAGTTCTTGTCAGAAGCTACGGCGAAGCTAAGAGTGCGTGGCTGCGTGCCCCGGGGCCAAAGACACGACTTGCCACTTTCAGTTGCTTTGTCGGAACCGGACCCCTCCCCGACGACTTTTCTCCCTTTGGGAAGTCCAACCAGCGGCTAATGTTCTCCCGATTGGGAATGCCGACGTTTACCCCCAGGCTGAGCAGGCTCCCCCAGAGTCCCGTCGGGCGCCACCGAACCGACATCGCTGCCATGACGCGCCTTCTTTAAGTAATCGATACTACGTACTTCCAAAAACCTTATAGCCATGCTCGAGCAACCAGAGAATATACGAGGGAGTCGAGAGTCGAGACTCTTGTTCAACAATATCGCTCGCGTGGCTGCTCCGCTGCCCGACACCATGCGTTCCACGTGGATTATTATGTGATTTCCTCGTTTCAACGTTGTTGGCCGGTTGGGAAACGGGGCTCTTATCAGTGGATCGTTTCGGGGCTTTTTCCAACTTGTGGGCATCTTCGCTATCGCCGATAAAACGACAATCCAACCCACCAGCCTATTCCTATCGCCGGTTCATGCTATCGCCGATACGAAGGAGTTTATCGGGCCGTAGTACTTCAGAACTACTATATGGTATCATACAGCGGGCTCATAGCGTAAAATATCGTAGATATAACGAATACCTATTATACAATTTCTTCTAGATATCTAAGTGGGTATACATAGCGGAGCATAAATGGGTCTGACATGGCATGACAGCCGAGAACTAGTAGTTGTCCGACAGCGACGGACAGGAGTTCTATCCCCAAGTCCCACCACCACCACCACGACCCTGTCTTTTCTGCGCAGACAGCCGCCAATCATCCTCGCCCGCAAACCGATTATGCAGCGGCTGAATCCGCTCGGCCTTCTTCCTCTTCGACAGTCGGTCCGTTGGCGCGACCTTGAAGAATGTCGGCGCCGCCTCGACAAGCCACTTCGGCTCGATCCCGGTCGTGCAGTGCATGTACTCCTTCGTCGTGAGGACGAGTGTGTGGTAGATGACGTGCTCAGCGGGCTTGCCAAACATCGCAGAGCTAGGATGCATATAGACAGGCGTGCCCTCGACGAGTGTCTTGTAGCCCTCAGTGGGGTCCTTGCGGGCTGCATTTCGGAAGAACCCCGTGCAGAGCGCTTGACGGACCTTCGTTGTGTTGCGACCGCATGAGACGATCTTGTGGTGGTAGCGTTGCATGATGCCTAGCAGTTGCTGACGGACGTCTTGCGCACGGCGGATCTGCCGGGCTTGAATGAAATTCTCAAAGCACCAGGCATTGTTGAAATTGGATTTTTTCCAGGCATTGTATACGTTCAGTAGCGTTAGGTGGTCGCCGTGCGGGTCATGGAACTTGGCTTTCTTCTGGTCCGCTTGTTGTTGTTTTTCTTTGGGGCGGTAGAAAACTGACTGGATAGAGAGCATGGCGACGATGCTGAGAAGTTCTTCAGAACACCCAAGGTCTACTGAGGCGATTAGGACCTTAGCAAGGGCAGGTTCCATTGGGAAATCGGCCATTTTGCGACCTAGACGGGTCAGAAGGCCTTCGTCGTCGAGCGCTGACAATGCATAGAGTTCTTCGAGGGCAGTAAGCATGGTGTTCGTTGGAGGGGGGTCCATGAAGTCGAAATGTAGTAGGTCGTTAATGCCCATGGCTTTGAGCATGAGGATAGTATGCGAAAGATTTTGTCGTTGAATTTCAGGGATTGTAGTTGGTAACATCTCTGATTGATATGCGGCTTCGGTGTATAATCGGAAACATTTTCCAGGGCCGGTTCTTCCAGCACGACCAGCACGTTGCTTGGCCTGTGCTTGTGAGATAGGCGTCACGACTAGGGAATCCATACCAAGCTTAGGGTCATAGGCGTTTTGCTTCACAAAACCTGGATCAATAACATAGTAAATATTGTCAATCGTGATCGAGGTTTCGGCAATGTTCGTCGCAATAACAACCTTCCGGCCGCCGGAAGGGGCAGGGTCGAAGATTCTACTCTGCATTTCACTAGGTAGCGCAGAGTAGACAGGAAGGATAACCAACTCTGGAACACTTGGCCCTAAAGCTTTCATTCGCTCATACAGTATCTCACACGCCGTGTCAATCTCTTCTTGGCCTGTCAAAAACAGAAGCATGTCACCGGGGGGCTCAGTCAGATGAATCTGCATGACAGTGATAAGAGCTGCATCCAGATAGTCTGACTCGGGTTCTTTCGAGTACATGATCTCCACAGGATATGTTCGTCCAGGAATCGAGAAGATAGGGCAGCCGTAGAAGTACTCTGAGAATTTATCTGCATCCAATGTCGCAGAAGTGACGATAAGCCTCAAGTCTGGTCTCCGCTTTAGCGTTTTCTTCAGCAGTCCAAAAAGAACATCTGTTGCGATTGTGCGCTCGTGGGCCTCGTCAAGCATGATCACTGAATATTTTTTTAGATCCGGATCCAACAAGACCTCTCTCTGTAACATGCCATCCGTCATGTACTTGATCTTGGTGTCTGGGCTGGTGCAATCTTCGAAACGAATGGTATACCCAACCTCTGCTCCAAGTTTGCAGCCCACCTCCTCGGCCACACGCTTAGCAACTGACATTGCGGCGACACGGCGAGGTTGTGTACAACCAATAATTCCATTGTTAGCCCAGCCGCCCTCGGCCAGGTACTGCGTCACTTGCGTAGTCTTTCCAGATCCTGTGTCACCGACAACAATCATCAACTGGTTCTCGGCTACGGCCTCCAGCAGCTGCTGGCGGAACTTGAACACAGGCAAACTCTCGCGCTGCTGCTTGATCGACATATTCGTTCGTTTTCCAAATGACTGGTTCTTGCCCATGGTAACTCTCTTCCATTCTGGGACAGCTTCATCCGTAGTGGCTTGCTGGGTTGAGCGAAGATCCGCCGCAAATTGCCGCTCATTAGCCATGGGATCTTGCCACTGTGCATTGAGGTCCACATCCGCTGCTCGTTCTGCTGCTTTGTCTTGGGCCTCCTGTTGTCTGAGGTCTCTCCGCTCTTTAGCCAAATTTGTTCCCGCCATTGCTGAGCGATTCATAGATCCATCTGGAGCCTTGACAACCCGAATCGGGGACAATTCTAGCGACATCTTCGTCTGGCCTGCCAGGAAAGGAGGTTCTTCATCCTTAACCTCAATGTCGATATCCTCTTCTTCTTCGAAAGTGCCCTCTCCGGTCAGGGTTGCGTGGTACTCTTCGTCAATATCAGGATAATCAGCTGCCGAGACAGCTCCGGACGCGATGAGCTGCTTTATTTCCCACCGCTCTGGCGATGTCAAGCGTTTTCGGTTTTTCATCGGCCTACCGCCGTCCTCCTCGATGATAGGAACATCTGAGCTAAGGTTGCCGTATCTATCGTTTGACGGCATGCCATCCAGCCGTTCCATATTAGCTCCGGATGCAAGGCGCTTCTGAGGAATGAGGTCTCGCCCAGTTTCCTGGTCCACCTCCTTCATGGACAGGCCTATGCGTGAACCTTGTATACTGATCACTTTGACCTTGACAGGCTTACCGCGAGAGACCAAATCAGAGGGGTGGTTGACCCGCACACCCTCCTGCATTGCAGAAACATGCACCAGTCCATCGACCTTTCCCTTGACCCCTGGTAGATTTACAAACGCGCCAAAGTCCTTCACACCCGTAACTCGCCCATCGTAGACCTTGTACAGAACGGGCTGGTCATCCAGCTCAGCAGGCGGCGCTTTGCGGAAGTAATCATCGTCATCGCGTCGCCGACCCCGCCGCTCGCTCCGACCATTGCGGTATTCATCGTCTCGGGAGCTATACCTTCCCTTCGACCGGCCAAACTCATCAACTCCATCCTCATCCCTCTTATTGTAGACCGGGCTGCGTGATCTCGACCTCGACCGATATCTGTCTTTTCGCCTTCGCCGACTATAATCATCATGTTCCGGGCTCCGACTCCGCTTCCTTTTCTCATTATCAATATTCGGCCTTGACTCGGTCGTCGTTTTCGTCCTTGCCTTCCCCGCCAACCCCTCCAACATCGCAAATGTATCATCCATCGCACTATCCTTCGCATCCCCCTCTTCAGCACCATTCCCATTAGCTTCCGTATACTCCTCCTCTGCCCAACCCCCATCGCGATCCGGCACAGCTAACCCCTTGAAAACCCGTGCCTTCTTCTCCAACGCATTCAACGCATCCATATCATCTCCCGCTCCCGCACCGTCTCCATCTTCATGCGATTTATCCTTGTTCCGATTTTTATAGCTCGGGTGCATCGTAAGAACCAACCGATCCACACTCTCCATCAAACTCATCGGGAACTCAGCGCCCATGCCCTCGAGCATACTCTTAAATTCGGCGAACGACGCGCATTTTAGGTGTTGGTCGACGACAAACTCGGCGAGGACTTTGTCGCTTACACCAAGGTGGTTTTGGAGTTCGTTTGTTATGCGCGAGATGAGGGAGAGGTGTTCGAGGGACTGGAGGTCGTCCATTTTGGAGGATGATCGTGAAGGAGAATTTATTATGAGGATATGTGTTTGCAGGTAGTATTATGTGAGAGAGTGTACAAGACACCCCTCGGCTTGAGTCGACTCGATGCGATATGAAGATGGACTAGTTGGTGGAAGTTGAAGGATGAAAGTTCCGATAATAAAGCTGCGCGGAAAATCGTTGTGGCGTGTTTGGGTTGGTGTCGCGCCACCGATAAGATAAGCAGGCCGCCTCAGCCACATTCCTATACTATACGTTGAAAGTTAATTTTTATATTCAGATAGTCATGGCTGGTTTTTAGTATCATGACGTTACATTAGAAAGATCTGAACGAGCCTTCACAGAATCCAGACTAGACTAACTAATAAATATACTTATGTGAATTAATAGTAAACATTAGATGAAATCCTAGCTTCGTCTGCCATCCACCTCACTACTCCGTACTCACACACCAGCTTCCATCACTTAAAGGACCAAGACAATGGCACCAAGAGCCATAAATCCGGCTAGTGGAGACTCGAATCTATTAACGGTAGCGGCACCAGTAAATTCCGGTGCGGAGGGGCTGGTAGTACCGGGTTGCTCAGGCGATGTCCCAGTGGGAACTTCAGGAGTCGTCTCTGGGGGAGTGACCGAGGTAGTCCAAGTACCAGTCGGAGCAGGGGAAGTAGAAGTCTGTTCTGGAGGAGGGTTCTCAGTGCCAGGGGGGGGAGTCTCGGTGCCAGGAGGAGGAGTCTCGGTGCCAGGAGGAGGAGTCTCGGTGCCAGGAGGGGGAGTCTCGGTGCCAGGAGGGGGAGTCTCGGTACCAGGAGGGGGAGTCTCAGTTTCACAGGGGGTAGTCTCAGGCGGAGGAGTCTCTGTAGTAGGGGGCGGAGTGTCTGTATCAGTCTCGCATGGCGTGGTCTCTGGTGGAGGCGTCTCCGTAGTGGGAGGAGGAGTCTCTGTGTCGGTCTCGCATGGCGTGGTCTCTGGTGGAGGCGT